GAGGTGGACAAGGCCCTGCGTCAGTACTTTGATAAAGGTAATAAATAATTGGAGCTAAAAGACAGAATTAACAAAATCATCGGCAGACGATGACAAAGATGATGATGATGACGACGACGACGATGATGATGACAACTCCAACGACGCCAACACCAAAGAGGATGATGACGACGGTGACGATGATGAGGAGGGTGGCAAGAACGACAGCAACGACGATGATGATGATGATGAAAGCGAAGAGAAGAAGAATGTGAAGAGGGATGATGATGACGACGACGACGACAGCAAAGAATCCGGCGGAAAAGACGACGACGACGATGATGATGATAGCGACGAAAAATCCGCCGAAAAGTCAAAAGACAACGATGATGATGACGATGACGATGATGACGATTCAAAAGAGGTCGCCGGAAATGCCGCCAAAGTTCGGGCGAAAAAGGACACTGCACCGCCGGCAAAAAATGACGACGATGATGATGATGATGACGACGATGACAGCGATGAAAGCGAAGAAGTCTCAGCAAAGAGCAGCAGCACTCCACTGAAGGGCGCCAGTGCCGCACCTGCCGGCAACAAAAAGGCAAGTTCCAAACACCCAAATGAAAGTTAACCCAAAATATTCCAAACAAATAAACAGGTCGAATCCGCCAGCAATAAAAAGGAATCAGCAGCAGCAGCAGCAGCCAAGGAGAGCAGCAAGCCATCATCAAAGACTAGCAAAAGTGCCCCCAAATCATCACCAACAAAAGCAGCAACTCCCAAAAAGGTAGAAGAAGATGATGACAACGATGACGACGATGAAGTGAGCGAGGAAGAACTTGCTAAGCAGCAGCACCAGCAGAAACGCTCCCGAGCGCACATCGACGATGTGCTCAAGGTCTACGAGATTGGCTCGCAGGATGTAAGCTAATTCTAAGCTTTCAAAGTNAGATTGGCTCACAGGATGTAAGCTAAAATTCTAAGCTTTCAAAGTACCCAACCTCTAACCCAAAGAACCACAGGACAACCAGGAGCAGAACCTCATTCTCTCCATCTTCCGCGACGTGAAGAAAATCTACGAGCAGACGGTGAAGCCGCTGGAGACGATCTACAAGTACCGGCAGATTACCACTCGGCTCATCACGTAACAAAAAATGAAAATCAAACTGGTTTTGCTAAAATAACAATACTTTCCCCTATCTCTAGCGACGCCGAAATCTTCTCCAAGCCGATGGTGCTCTTCCTGGGCGGCAAGTCCACCGGCAAGTCGTCGCTGGTCAACTACCTGCTCGGCATTGACGAGACGCCGTGGGAGATCAAAGTCGGTACGGGTAGAGAGAGAGGAGCAAATCAGTCCGGGAAGCACATCATTGTTCTCACTAACAAATCATTTTGTGCTTAGGCGCCGCCTCAAGTGGCAAGTTCACCATTCTCTCGTACGGCGACAACTACACCCGGCTCAGTGCAACCGAACTGAGCGCCGACTACACCTTCAGCAGTCTGCAGCGCTTCGGCGAGCAGTTCATCAACGAGTACATCGATGCCCACCGACTGCCCATCAACATTCTCCAGAAGGTACAGTAGTGGTGGTGGAGACTGTATAGAACGAATCGTACAGCAGCAGTTGTACAGCTACCTCTAATTACCACTCTCTCCCATTTTCAATAGATGACAATCGTGGACAGCCCCGGCCTGATCGACCTGCTGCCGACGAAGGCGGCCAACAAGCAGACCATCGACAATGACGTCTACCAGTGGTTTATTGACCGCTCCGATGTGATTTACATCGTCATCGACGTCAGCCAGCTCCACCTCAGCTCCAGCCTGCGGGTGCTGCTCGACCAGCTCAAAGGTAACAGTAGTAAAGCTAGCTACTGAATTGAAAACATTCCCTAATCACTATACTACTACTATTCATTCCCACCGAACAAAACAAAACTAGGCCGCGAGGTGCGCTTCGTGATCAGCAAGTCGGACATTGCCTCTCAGTCGCAGATCATCTCGATGATCGGCCAGCTGCTGTGGGTCCTCTCGCCGATCATGTCCGCGGAGCAGCCGCCCATGGTGTACGCGCTGACGAGTGAGTAGTGGTGGACAAAAGAAAGCGGAGAGCAGTGGTGGTGGTGGTAATTACCACTAATTGGACCAATCACTCATTCTCCATTCTCCATTCTTTCTACTCCACACTAGCACTGCCCGCCGACTCGCACTTTGACGAGT